GTTTGGTTTGGTTGCGAATCCTCTTTTTATTTATTTTTTTGCCATGGATGTGTATACATATTTTTTATTTTTAATTAAAAGCGGAAGTAAAAGCTAGGGGGGCATGGCCCAAAGGGGGGTTTCAATGGTTAGAATTGGTTCGGTTCGGTTGGGTTTGGTTGGGTTAGGTTTGGTTTGGCGACTTGTCAAGTATGCGTGTGCACTGGGAAAAAATATATGTATTCTAGGGTATTATCATTTCAATTAGAAGCTTGTTTTGCCATGAAGGAGTCATTTCGAATCCTGTAAATTATCAACGGAATAAACAGCTGAATCGATAGAGACAAGTCTTGTCAAAAAATACATTTTTGAAATTTTTTCAAAATTTTATATAGGGTGCCATCGTAAAAATTGTCAAAAAATGGTAAAATTTGTCATTTTAATTTGTAAATTGAGTATGCAGATCTGTTAACCTAATAAAAACTAACATAGGAACGGTTTCTGAATTAAAATTAATGCTATTTTCGTTAAGATATGAAATTTTTAAGCTTGGGTTTTTAAAAAAAAATAGTCTTAAAATATTGTTAAATATCGATTAAAAAAATGATAATATTTTAAGCTTAATTATGATTGATTTCCTATACCAACCTATACTTCAAGTGCAAACTGCAAGGGTATATAAAGTTTAGCGTCCCGAAGTTAATTTGCTTTCTTGTTTTAAATGAAATATTTGTTCTTAAAAGCTTAGTTTTAAGAATTATTCAGGAACAGATAACCCTTATGCGAAGTCTCTCAAAATGTACCTATATTAAATTAAGCAAAAGATTTGCATTATATTAAATTAAGTGAAAGATTTGCATTATTTTAATATTAAATAATATTAAATCACAAAATTACCTTTTTATTCCCAGTGTTCCTGCGTTGGCCGGGCACTTTGGCCCGTTCATTTCGCAGTGTAGTGTTTTGCTAACAATGCGAATTTCAGGGCATTGTTGCAGGCTCCCCTCTCGCAGCATCCCCTAACCTCCACTCCCACTCCGCCCCCCGTGATACGCACACAGGGAAACGCATCAAATCATCAGCGGCGATTTCAGACAGTCATCCGATGAAATGTCAAATGCGTTTCCCCGTGGCCCAAGTGGGCTAACGCAAACACACGATGTCCTGGCTACTGGTAATGCCAACTGCTAACTGGTTGCTGCTAGCTGGTTACTCTGATGCCACCGCTTAGAGCGGCACAAACTAAACCAAACTCGACAACAATAAAAACATGGCAACAATTCACCAGCTGAAGGGTTTTTCAAATAACGAAAAAAAAAATGGAAAGGCTAGGAAAAAGTGCGGGTGGAGCAGTAGCGGAAAAAGGGAAAAGTCAGGCGAAAAAAAGAACGGAATCGAGAAAATTAAAACAAAACAAACAGAAAAACGCATCCTCCAACGACGTCTCATCCGGGAATGCACGGAGGGAAATATGCATATATATTTTATAAATATATAAAAGATATATTAAATAATATATATGTATATATTATAAATTAATTAATATATATATATATAAATTAATGAAAAATATGTAAGAGTTTAAAAGGTCCTTATGGAAGTAACATTTCCTTTATTCTGTCCATCATATGAAAATATTATTGTAGAATATTGAAGATTTGCAGGACATCTTTATGAATGAATCATTTGGTAAACTTATTGAAAAATATATACATATTTTAAAAAAGGATTTTCCAATTAGTACATCCTTTTTATTTTCAACAATCTTCTTTCTAAGGAATCCATCCTTATAACCCTTTTATTTCTCAATAAACTTATTTTAAAGGATTATCCCCCTAATGATAAGAAACATAACTCAAAACCCATTACTTCCCCAGGCTTTCTCACAGATCTCTATTTAGGATCTAAGTTAATAACGTCTCTGGAATTAACCTTAAATTTTCCCTGCAAAAGGTTTCCCTTAGTGTAGTCCTGAATCCTGCATCATCCTTTGGCCGTTATGCCTTCACTCTCTCTCTATTTCACGTTCCACGCATGAAGAGATTTCGGTTTAGCTTTTGATTGACGAACTTGGCTCGTTGTTTGTGCCTCATCCTCAATCCTCCTCTTCAATCCCCGTGGCCCATGCTCCTCTCAATCCTGGCATACGCTGCCGCTTTTCACTCAAACTCATCAACGTCAGCGACGCATTCAAATCGTTTTGATGGACTTCTCAGCCTTATCCCCTCATTCCCATCATCAGCAGGACTACGCAGTGCATCCTGGCGCAAGAACAAAACAGCAACGAAAACAAAAAAAAAAAAAAAAGAATCTGGAAATGGGTAAAAAAAAGAAGTGGAATGAGTCTGGCACAATATTTGTATTTTACGCAATTTTTACTGACGACGACTGCCATCATGAGTCTGAGTGACTGAACGGGAGGAGGGAAGAGTTGGCTCCATTTTCTGTTGCCTGATTTGCAAACCGATTTGCAACATTGTTCATGTCAGTCAGCGTATTGTTGATTATCAGTGTTCAGTTGTCCTGGATATGGGTTTGGGGGATTCCCCCATCTCACATGTATATTTGCCCATCTATTCATTGTGTTTCGGTCGCCTTTTTATTTCACATTTTTTGCTGATTGAAAGTTTGTGCGACAATTGTTGCGGTTATAGGAAATGGTCCAGAGTCTAATTAAACAAAATGCAAACCAGGCACAAATTGTGCGGAAATATTTGCGAAGGGGGAAGGAGAGGTTTTTCTATTAACTCGGATTTGCCAAGAGCCTTTTTGATATTAATTTTCAATATGCAAAAGTTCTATTGTTTCTCTTTTTCCCATGATACAAATAATATATCATTAGGATATTCATAATTATTTTATGTTAAATACTTTCATGGAATGCTAAGCTTAAAAAACAGTACTTTCATTCACAAATAACCATCTAATTTTTACCAATTTGAGATTAATGCATCTTTGGCTAAGTTATGATTAACTTCAAGTGTATCCACACTTCGTCTTCTCAAAGTTAACTTCCTTTCATGTTCACACTTTATTAACCATAAAATATGCCCAGTGGCAGTAAAAGAACAGCCGCTATGAATTCCTTGCAATTTAATTAGCCAGATTAAAGTTGGCCGGGATGCTGGGGAGGGGTGGCCATAAACTGTTGCCAAAAAGTTTTAAGCTGCGTTCGAGGCTGCTTTTGCTTTCGCACCCAAAAACAGAACTTTGACGAGGAAAGTTTCGAGTGGCGCTTGTCTTGTTTCATCTTCACTTTCCCTCTCTCTCTCTGGGCCATAATCCGTTGACGTCAACTGCGGTTAGCCAGAATCCCCAACGGATGTAAATGAGACCGGGCTTGGAAAAGTTTTCTGTGCATATTTTCCATCAGATATTTTTCGGTCACTTTTGGTGTAAACTACACTGCCAAACTTGTTGCCTCTAAAGGCCAACTTGTTGCTTGTGTGGCAAAAGGACCATTTAGCTCGTTATTTGGCTCGTGTCCTGGTGGTCGGGTTTTTGGGACCACATACAGCTGGTGTGTGTGTGTGGCCTTTGAATGGGTTTTTGATAACTGAAAACACACACTTGTTAAGTGTCAATTTCATTTAAATAGTCTGGCTATTACACACACAAAGAATGGATTGTCACAGATTGTGGTAAAAGAGTTTAAATTAGATTAGAATATCATTTTGTGTGTTGTATTTTAGCATACTTTTTAAGTAAATCTTAAAGAGTTAATATAAAAAAACACTCAGAGTGGTAAAAATATTAATTTGGGAACCTGAAATTTCCATACCCATGCATTGAAAATCTATCATAACTTGGCTAAAAATTCATTAATTTCAATTTAGAAATCGTTCACATGTTAGTTTTTATTAGGGTAATAAATTTGCATACTCAATTTTTAATTTTAAAAGTGGGCTCTTGATTTTGATCAAGAATATATATGATTTATGGGATCGGAAATGACTACATCACTGAGTTTCAAGCTTTTGACTAAAATTCTTAGACTTGCAAAGGTAAAATAAATTAAGAAACTATTAAAGCCGATTTGAGCTTAAAAAGAGTATGTATTTAAAACATTAAAAAGTAGTTGAGTCTTTAGGTTTTGTTGATGAATTTTTCCAAAGCTTTTCTCTGTTAGAAATCAAATAAAATCAACTTTAACCCACTTCGTCTTTCCGGTATACAAAAGATCGTGAAAAGAGTAAACAAAAATTATCTCAGAGAGAATGAGAGCTAACAATATTAATGGAATTTTGTAAACAAACCACGCTCAACGAGTTTGTGTCAAACTTTTGACTCTCCCTCAATCATTGTCAATCAAGTTATGTAGATCTTGAAATGCTACAATTTATTGTTTATCGTGGTTTATTTTATGTTTGTATTTTAACAAATTAATTCGTGGAAAACTTTTTATCACCTGAAATGACATAATCTTAGCTTTCGTTAGAATCCAGTTAAAACCAATTAAGGTGACTGCTTCAGGCAAGTCTTGAGCTCCGTATTGTACATTAAACTTAACAAATGATTATATAGGGGTTCCATACAGTTCTCCTATTTTCTATGTCGTGGACTATAAACAGAAGGAGAACGTGGTTTATCCTCCAGCCGAAGGATTCACAATACCTTCAAGAATACAAAGATATAGCTTTCCAGCCTAAAAGATTGTTCTAAGGGCTACATTTCACACTCACTGGTTCGTGAAATTATTTTGTTTATAAATTTTATATCCTTACCTTGAAATATGTGAATTCCCGATGATATGTTTCATAGGAATTCCTGCCTCGCCTCAAACGGAACCTGAAATGAGTCGCTTTCCTCTCCGCTTGACCGAAACTAATCAATAACATAAATGTATATTTGTGGGTGTCTAGAATAGATGGCAGAGTCATCAAATTGAAACAAAAATAAAACCTGTTTTGAGAGAACGCACGTTCTGTGGATGGGGGAGATTGAGGATTAAGCACCTCGAACCGAAACGCGACTATAATTACTAAAGAGCCCCTGCCTTTAAATCAGTTGTGGCGACCGATTTGACTGGTGAGCATCGTATCGTTATTTTTTGTGTGTCGAAATGGATCCGCCACTGAACCAGGTGCTCCTCCTGGTGCTGTCGCTCTGCCTGCTGGTCTCGGCCAACAGAATCAATGACAGAAAGTCACCCAACGAGGTCAGTCTCTACAGCGAGTCGGACAATGTGAAAATGCTGGACAGTGAGTCACTGAGAGCAGCTCTGGTAATGGATGGTGACAAAGGCAAACTGGTGCAGTTCCTCAATACCTTCTGTGGGGATTGTCAACGCTTTGCCCCGATTTTTAAGGGTTTGGCTCGTGACCTTTACAAATGGAACTCCATCCTCCGGATCTATGGCATTGATTGTGCCCAGGAGAGGAATGTGGATGTGTGCCGGGAGTTTGATATTCGTCAGACTCCCACATTGCGTTATTTTGCCTTGGATTCCTACAAACATAATCACAGCCTGGGCTTGGATATACCCAGTCAAGATCCTCAGGTAATAACCTCAACACTGGCTGAGTTTATCTCACGAAATGAGCAGCCAAATTTTGCACCTTTGAAGTCGGATGATAATGTGGAAAGCATATTTAAGAGACACTTGGCTCGAAGTCCCTCAGTGAAGGTCATTGCTTTGGTATTCCAACCCAAGGATTCCCAAATAGGCAGGGATACTCTACTCGAACTTTTACCCTATAAAGATTTGGAAGTGCGTATTGTGGAGGATTCTGCGGTCTTTGCCAACTTTGGCCTTAAAGATGTGACCGATCTGAAGTTAGTTATCATCGATGGAAAGGGGAACCCCAAAAGTCTGACAACCACCGAAGATACAAGTAAAGCCTATGCCACCGTTGTGGGGAATACCTTCAGTCCCTCGATTACAAGCCAGAGCCACCATTACCCATTGTTGAGGCTGCCAATGTGACAGAGTTCTTGGATCAGCAGAATCAGGCCATCATAGCGGAAGTTCTGAAGCCACCAAAGAGGGTCTATAGAGCTGATCTGGAACAGGCCATTGATAAGCTACTCCACATTGAGCTACCCAAACCGCCTTTCCTGGAGGGAAATAATTTGACTGCCTTGAGGAACATCATAACCGTGGTCAGCTACCTTAATCCTCTCAATAAAGATGGTCAGTTGTTGCTGAAAAACCTCCGAAGTTCTTTGAGCCAGGCCAAGACCATGACGGGAGTTCAGTTTGCCGAAACAGTGGAGTCCCTGGAGAAGCCTCTAAAGAAAGTCTTCAAAGCAAGGCGTTATGTGGGCTGCATTGCCTCACGTCCCTTCCTGCGCGGATTCACTTGCTCTTTGTGGACACTATTCCACTTTCTCACCGTGGAAGCAGCCAAGCCACCTTATTACTTTAAGCCAGGCTCTGTCCTCTTAGCTGTTCATGGTTTTGCCAAGTACTTCTTTGGCTGCACGGATTGCTCCCGGCACTTCCAGGCAATGGCCAAGCGAAGGCGTTTGGCTTCAGTCAAGAGTCACGATGAGGAAATCCTTTGGCTCTGGGAGGCTCACAACGAGGTCAATCAACGTGTGGCTAGTGATTCCACCGAGGATCCCAAATTCCCCAAGATTCAGTTCCCCAGCGAAGAGGATTGCCCCACTTGCCGGTCCAGCAGCAATAGCTCCGAGTGGCAGAAGCCAGAAGTGCTCAAGTATTTGAAAAAGATCTACGATAGAGAGAACCTGAGCTTCTATGGTTTACCCACTGCCCAGGGATATAATTGAATAATCATTGAATAATTGCTCTTAATTATGGTTAATTTTTACAGTATTTGTAAGCGTTTTGCACTCTTTTTTAATGTTCTCATTTAATAAAATAATGTTTTTTCTAAAAGACTTGGATGTGATTTGTTTTGTACAATTTTGGTTTGTAAAGATTTTCAACGCTTAGCAAATTAAAAGCATGAAAAAATCTATCATCAGTCACAACATTTGATGATGAAATTGGGTTACTTAGTTGGTGGCTTTATTTTCTTACAATGTTGGCGGGTACATTGTAAGAAAATAAAGCCACCAACTAAGTAACCCAATTTCATCATATCTTCTCTTAGTTAAAAACTTGTCCTTTGGGTTCTGGTCTCCTCCTACGAGGTCCTTTATCCTAGTTTGTGATGGTGTTGGTAGCAGTGAAATCTATTCGGAGTATCCCGGAATATTCTAAAAGGCAAAGGAAATATTCTAATAAAAGTATCCGATAAAGCATCCCGAGTTTATCAATCTGATTACCTGCTTGGATCCTCACTGATTTAGGAACACCTGCGGTCTTAGACAGAAATACCATAAAAATGTTGTTCTATTTACATCACCATAACTACTGAGAATGTAGATAGTGAAGAGTCTCTGTATATATGAAGTAATACACATACTTTTCGTATACTTTGTGGTATTTTGATCCATAAGATAGAGCTATAACATTAAGTCGAACTAGATATTGATACTAGTTAAACAGTAAAAACAAAACTAAATATATAGCCTGTAAATTACATAAAGAGGTTGAGTAGAAATCAATATCAGTACCATGAAATTGTAATCATTACTCTTGTATGTCTCTGTTAAATTGCAATTTCACATAAATTTGTATCGGTTATATCATTAATTTAAACCTTTATAATTGCCTTCACTTTTCCTTTTGAGTATAGTTAATTTGAGCATCGACTGGATATGGAACTATTACAAAAACCTCAATATTCAGCCACATTGTGGTCACTGCTTCTGTCACTATTTTTGATTTTCAACAATATCAACTCCTTGGAAGCAACATGCAGGCCATTAAATCTGCTTGAAATCAAACCCGAGAATACAACTTTCCGCGGGAATCTAATATTCCCTCTTAGAGATGAAAAGAATATAATATATCTGGTCGATTTGGAACGAGCTATAGATCATATTCTGAGACTTCAACTTTTAAAGGTGCCAGTTTTCAAGGGAAATAAACTGATTGTACTGAAGAATATAATTGCTCTCCTGCACTACTTGAATCCGCTGGCAACAGATGAAGGAAAACTCTACATAAACAATATATTTTGGTCTATACAATCTCAATCAGAAGTAACACAAGAGTTTCTGAACACAACAATTAATGCCAAGGAACTTCTGGATAAAAGCTACAAGGGAAACGACTATCTTGGCTGCAGAGGCTCTGAGTCCGGATTGAGGGACTTTAATTGTTCCCTTTGGACTCTATTTCACTATTTGACGGTGGCAGCATCCCAACTTCCTGAATGCATCCAGCCGGGAGCTGTCCTTTGGGCATTTCACGGATATACTCAATATTTCATGGGCTGCCCAGAGTGCTTTAGGAATTTATGGTTCTACGCTCAGAACAAACAGATCGATGATGTGAAGACCCATGACGAGGAGATCCTTTGGCTATGGAAAGCTCACAATCATTTTAATAGAAAATTGGCCGGTTCTATCAGTGACGATCCATTTTTCGCCAAGAAGCAATTTCCTCCGCAAAAGTATTGCAGAAGATGTCGCAACTTTAGGGGAGAATGGAGAACAAATGAAGTGCTAAAGTATCTGAAAAGTATTTACGGTTTGGATAAACTGTATTATCAAGAATGACATAAGTACTCTAAGAAGCACGAATAAGGATTAATTAAATACTTATCTAATATATATGTCTCGCATTTTAATATCAAATGTATTTTAATTAGTGTAACAAGTAATATTCTGAAAAGTACAAAAATTAAGAGAGATGGTTTTGGGTCTTTGAAGAGAAAATTATCTTACTTTCGTTGGCTGGTTTTATGTTGTCATAGGGTTTAATAAAGATATCAGGATTGCTTTTGTTTTCATTATAATAATAAATGATATACTATAAATTCTAATGTAAGCAAATGTAATTGTGATACAAAGCAAACTCTTGAACTATTACAAGTACAGAAATGTTTCCTAGCTTCTCAATAGCTTCATAAAAATTGCATGAATCTTTTAAATTAAGCGTTTATATCGAGTGAAGCGTCACTCTAAACGAGTGTGTGTAGATTCGCCCACCTTTTTAATAAAGGAAACTCCATCCTACACACCCTTTTCCAGCCATTGGTCAAGTCAACTGACCTGTTCTAAGGCACTCGCTGTACAGCGATTACCCCGCACATCAAACTGAACCGAACCAAACTGAATTATTTATAGAACATTTTTGCAAAATATCTACGCACTAATTTGCGTAAAGTAATCGATGTGGTGGAAAAATTTTCACGCATGCACACGACCGATGGCAGCGTTGCCAGAGGAGGAGAAGTAGGAGCAGGAGCACCGGGCATTCTATAGTGGGGGCACTTCAGGTGGTTCAGTCTCATGCCCAAATAGGCAACGGCAAAACGGAAGCTAAAAATTACCCAGGCGGTATAGGTATAGGTATTGGTATCCCTTCTCCTAACCATTGAAAAAACGCCCACAAAACTTTCTTCCTCATTGTGCGTAAATTGGCACCCCTCAAAAGGCTCCATAGAAAAAGAGTTAACGCATTTTGCCCTTACGTAATGATGTGTATGTAAAATTTATAATATACATAAATAAATAAAATGCACGCAGTTTGGGATTGGGATTGGGATTGGCGGTCGGGTTGCACAGTTTATCGATATTTTTGCACCCATCGAAAGGGGAGTGATGGTGCAGTGCAGTGAGCCTTGAGTGAGAAAATTTAATGGCCGTTTGGCACCGAGCACAACTGTACCTTTTTCGTGCGGTGATTTTTGTGCGTGCGGCGGCTTTCCTTGAATAGTTGTTCTTGGCAAAAGCCGTAAATTTTCGACCATATCTTTGCCGCCGGAAACCGGAAACCAGGGCCTATTCGTATGCCTTGCACTGCCATTCTTCTTTCCCCAAAACCGCGTTGCGTAAAGTGCGTAAAATATGGACAAAATCTAAGGCTCTTCGTGGTCCTAATAGCAAACGGATATTGTGGCTTTTTGTCTTGTGAATTGCCTGAAGGGAATCGGATCGGATCCTTGGCACTGCGAGGAAATGCTCTAATTGGGGGCCCAAAAGATTTGCATAACGTAATTGCCAGGTCGGGCAGGGAAGAAGAGATCTTTGGCATGACTGACTCTGGGGAGTGCATTTAACCAAAAACAATATAGCCTCCCCCCCCCGCGCCAGAATTATGCACAAATTATTGTTTAGGCATTTAAATTGCCGCTACTGTTGCGGCGATGAAAAAATGCTAACATAAAAAAGAGTACGAGAAATGAAAACAATAAAATGGCAGCTGAAGAAGCATCATCAGCAGCAGCGGCTTGCGAGGTAGCTCGTTGTTATAATTATGTAAAAACAGTCTAAAAGATTGACTTGACTTCTATAGGCACTCGGAAATGCACTGAGAAAATAGGAATACTTTGATAGAATTTTAATAATAATTTTAATAATTAAAATGTATTTATTGGGGTGTTTAATTCGAGGTTTATTAGACTTAAGAAGAAATTTAAAGCTACCTGTTTCTGCTATAAGTTGTTCCTTTTTTTGTATAGTTTATTTACTCTTTTTCTTTACAGAAAAAAGTATTAATATTTAATTTATATTTTTTAGACATTCTATTTTATTAGAACCAAAAATTATACATATAATTTAATTAAAAGAAAATACGTTTTGAAGAACATACGCATTTTTTATGCAATTAAATTTATTTCTCTACAAATTACCTACCAATTTTCTCTCTCTGCATATACACACTCACACTCACACACACAACACTCACCCAACGGTGTGTGTGCATGCAAAGGCAACATAAATTTAGGGGGAAAAGGTTGAGGGGGAGGAAGGCATTACAACAACAACCTGGTAATTATCAAGCCTTAGCGGCAAGCAACATTGTCTGTGTATCTTACCTGCGTTCGCTAACTGCCCCTCCCTCCTGGTACTCCTCCTCCTGCTCCTCCTAAACCTACCACCCCCTATCCCCCCAACCCCCTAAGCCACCACACCCTTCACACGCAAAAAATGTAAAGTGAAAATATTTTTTAAGGCACTTGTACTGTAGGACAGTACAGGTGCAGGTGGAGAACGCGGTACCATCAAATGGGTGGCTCCCATTTTTTGCCGTTGGCTTACAGCTATAACTTCCCCCCTAACCACCCACTCGCCGAACTTGAGCAGTTTTCTATGTGGCTATATATAATTAAAAATAATATGAATAGAACTTGAAAAAAAAAAATAAACAAACAAAAGCCACACAGGCAGAGCTTCAGGGAAGGTTTTTTTTGAAGAAAGAGCAGGCAAGTTATACAAGTTATAATAATTTTTGGGTAAGAAAAATGAAGGTAATAATATAAAATTAATAAATTAAATATTAGTAATCATTGGGATTATTCAATATAAAAAAAAATTATTGGGATTAATCAATATATAAAGTATTTATATTACAGTGTATTACAGTATTTATATATGTTTAATAATCCCAATGTTTACAAATATTTTATTTATTATTTGCAGATTCCTAACCAAAAAAATGTTATAACTTATAGAAAATTTTCTATTTAATGATCCCAAAATATTTCTATAATTTTTATATGTTTAATATATAGATAAACCCAATGTTAATTGCTTTATTGCTTTAATAAAGTAGTACAATGATTTTAAAACCTTGAAACGTTTTGTGACTTAGAATAAAATTAGAAAGTATATTTCAAATAATTTAAAAGACCTAAAAGTATCTCCTTATAGCTATATATATGTTGTATCTAAGTCTATCACATACTTAAAATATTAATTAAGTTAAACAGTCTAGAATTTTTTGTATTTTTGCAAATTGATTTACTTCTTTTGGGCAAAATGTGACTAATCTTCACAACAAAATTAGCAAAAATAACATAAAAGCTTCCTAATTCGTCAAACCAAAATGCCATTTGGTAACAATTTTCCCAAAGTTTTGTTGCCACAACCTGATGCTGCTGCTGCTGCTGCTGCTGTTGATGATGATGCTTACCACACCACATCTCTCTTACCCCCCCTCTATGCCACAAACTGTGGCAGCGCGTAATTAAAACAATTTGTGCATAATTTTTGTACAAGTGCAGTGCCCCAAAGCCGAACCCCAAGGCTCCATGACCCCTTCCCCCTCACCCCGAACTGAGCTTTTAAATAATAATTTGCTTAGTTTATGAAGTGCTCAAGTGTGTGCGTGCCTGCGTGTGTGTGTGTGTGTCTGAGTGGGTGAGCTACATAAACAGTTCTGCCACCCACCTCCCCCCTTGGCATACAATTTACTCACTTGGTTGCATTTTAACATATTTCGTTACGTTTTCAGCCAGGCCCAGAGTCAATTGTTGCTGTTTTTTTCATGTATTTCTTTCATTCTGCAGTATTATGCCGTGTTTTTGTTGCAAGTTTAATTTGTTTGAGTTTTCATGCAACTGCAGCAGCAGCAGCAGCAGCAGCAGCAGCAGCAGTTGCTTCTGTTGTGAATTTCATGTGCATCTGCCGCTGTAACTGCCTTCTTTCACCCAAGTCAAAAAATATTTGTGCACGCAAAAAATGTTAATTGCCAGAGAAGTAGCAACAACAGCAGCAGCAACATCAGAAGTAGCAGCAGCAGCAGCAACATCATCAACAAAAAGCGAACCATCAATGTGGCAGGGGCATTAAAATATTTAGGTTGCTATTGCCACTGCTCCCATCAGCTCTCTTCCCAAGCCTCAAAACCCACAGGCCCTGCTACCAACTTCGACTCCGACTCCCAGTCAGAACCTGGCTAAAATGCAGCCTCTCCTTGCCACAACCCGTTGGCAGAAACGTTAATGCGACTGCAACTGTAACAAATTGCAATGTCGCACATCTGTCTTCTCTGGCGTTTGTCGCTGCCTAAAAAAGTTTGGAAAAAACAATGGCAACTTGGCGGAAATTACAGAAAACTAAATACCCTAGACTGGGGAAAATATGAAAAAATAGGTACTGGGATTTCCAAAACCTTTTTTTTAATCAGAAAACATATCAAAATTGCGGGAAAAATTTGATAGAAAGTACTTATTAAAAATTATATATAGTTTTAAAGCCTTCAGTTAATTAAATTAAAGTGATAATGTAGCATAACATAAAACATAAAATAATATTAACATAAAAGGAAGCTAATTTCGGGATACCAAAGCTTATATATCCTGACAGTTTGCAATCGAAGTATATGATCGTCTCGGAAATAGATCATAACTATGATATTTATCAATTTATTTATATGATAATTCAAATAATTCATCAAACTTTGAAAATATCATAACTAAGCCAAAACGGCCTTAATTTTACTTTCGAAAAAATATTAGTTTTTATTAGGTTAACTAAAATACTAAAATTAAAATTTTAAAACATTCGATTTTTTCAAATTTCGAAAATTTTAACAATTTTTATGAAGTTTTGCGATTTTGGAAAATTTTTGAAAAAATCTATTTTGACCAGACATAGCTAAATCGAATTGGCTATTGATGCTGATCAAGAATATATATATATATTTATGGGGTCGGAAATAACTCCTTCATATTTTTATAAGATTCTGACTACAATTACAATACCCTGCTAGGGTATACAAAATAATTATTTTTCGTAAAGTATTTTAATCTCAAGAAAGCCCCTTTAAAGGTAAGGATAAGAATTTTTATTTATTTTACTTAGAAACTTTGTCAAATGTGTGTGAATAATTTCAATGAAA